CAATTATGTTTAGCAATCGAAGGCACGTACAAACTTGAGATGGATTGAGGTAGCCACCTTGTAATAGAATTCTAAAAAACCTGAATTTGTTTTATCTATCTTGTTTTCAGTATCCGCCAGGTGTACCAGAATAATAGGAAACTTTTGATCGACCGTACGCCTCTGATTAATAATAGAAATAATAATTTTTGCTTCATTCCAAAAACAGTACTAATAATACAGCAAGGAATTTTCAGCATTCAGTACAATATTGCATCTAATTTACTCAAAAACGACAAAAAAAGTTATAAATACACATTACATAATAGTAATAAAACGATTGTTACAGCAGCTACATAACAAAATACTGTATGCAATATGGAGAAAAATATGCATAAAGTATAAAATTGTAGTAATAATAGTAATACCAACTAAAATAAAATAGCAGAGTAACGATTTAAACGATAGAAAGTGTGACACCATAAAATACAGAAAGATGAACAATGAAAGGGTCGAATCAATGTGCTAATTACATAGTAACTTGTGTGTTTCACGTCTAACAGAGTCTTCATCACATAAAGTACGAGCTAAATAGGGTATTGTAGAATTTCTATACTTAGCGGTACGAGCATATAACTTCTTATATTGACTTCTCGTCCTACCTGATGAGATACAGGGGGATAGGTGTGAATAAATGAGGTGCAGAGGGTCTGACATTATAGCCTTTGCCCATTTTTTACAGGAATTTATATGCCTCTCGACTACAGTATTAGCGAGCTCGTGCAGTGGCAGACCACAAGCCCTACTCACAGCATTTAATACTCTTCGTAATATGATATAATCTTTTTTGAGCAGCCCAGGAAAGATTAATGGAGAGCAATAGAGTACAATAGGTAAAATACAGGAGTTTAAAAATTGCAAAACTAAATGTTTTGTTTTTGATGCTGGCTGAGTGACGATGATTTCCAGATTGGTTGTTTCAGGTTGATGAATGGGTTTCTCGCCTGCCTTCCTGTTGATTCTCGATTTGATATCCTTTTCCGTTCCTCCTACTGTAGTTCAGACAATGCTCATTACCTAGATAATTGAATGAAGTAACCTCTCTCAAATTCCTCCCGTTGATGGTGATTGGCTGTTGGCTGGATATTGCTGCTGTTGTTGTTGTTGTTGGATGGTTATTTTCATAACCTCCGCGACTTGTCTATGTTCATCTGGAGTCTTGTCTTCACCGGCTGCTTCTTCGACCAGTTTGTCGGTTTTCGCTTGTAAGTCTTCGATTTTGTGTGACATCAAACATAAATCATCCACGTGCGAAACCCAGGTCTTCTAGCTTCTTCGCGTCGGTCGGTCCAGGATATTCCTGTCTTCTCGTTTCCCACTCACTGTCCGACGCATAATCCAGTCAGTCCACCACAATTAGGAATATCATTGATGATAGATAATAATCAACCTTGTCTGACTCCAGTGTTTAATCCACTAAAAATTACATCAGGTTAACTCCTGAGGCATTGTCGAAGCGTCCATACTAGGTAGGAGGCGGCGACATGTCAACCTGAACCTGAACACTTTGGTCCAATCAATAAATGGGAAAGTTCAGATTGAGATAAACTGATACACGTATGTATAATATACATTCCTTCGCCTAGTTTTAAGACATTAAATGTTGACGTTAACCACACACACACACACACACATACATGCAGACACGGAGGCTTACGTCAACAGACAGTCGGATAACATTTATTTAAAATTCAATTTTGAAACTTTTATTATAAATATTTATTTATTTAAAAAAAAACTAAATTACAGGTTTTGTTTGGAAGAGCAAATACCAAAACAGACAGACAGACAGTCGGACAGATAGACGACGGTGAAAAACCCCCCCAAAGCGGGAGTGCATTACAGACTAAGTTAGACAGGATTGTTAAAATAACAAAATAAGCCAAAAAAAATCACTACCAGCCAGTATTGATGCCGTCATAGTGTGCAATACTACTAACTAATTCAATATCAGTGGTATATTAAATTTCTTTAGTTATTTTATTTAAATGTGTGTGTCTATCTTGCATAGAATAATGTGGCCTATCAATTAATTAATTAATTAATTAAGGAGGGACCTGACTGATTGGTTACAGGATTTCATCATAAGCTTATATCGAGTAGAGATGAAAACTTGGAAAATTGGCTTTTTTGGGGAGTACCGGACGACTGTTCCGTCCGCCTAATTTGAAACTCTTCATCACTACGTACCCACTGACCGGATTTTGAACCTAGGACCTTCTGGTTACAAGGCCAGAGAGCTCATAAGCGATTTATGCGTGTAGCAGATCAGGTGTGAGGACGAATGCTCGCCACTCGTCTTGAACTGGTACAAACACGTTCTTTGGATAGGTTTTTTTTTTCCTTCACGTTCCCCAGTGGAACATAGGGCTTCAAGCTAGTAGCTTGCAGTTTCTGTAGCAGAGTTTATTTTACAGGATGGGGTTGCTAGCCTCATGCCCAACCCTTCCTCTTTACCAGAATTATTTATGGCTTAGAGAGGTAAAGGTGTGCGCCGGCCGGGGATCGAACCCCGGACCATGTGCATGGTCGGCGAGCGTCCTAACCGCTATACCACCGACGCTAGGTTTAGAAGACGTGTAAACATCAATTTTATATCCTGTCTCTATAATATGTTTGCCATTAGAGGAGCAACAAGGTCTTCTGTTCTCACCATCAATGAGTTCTGGAGGGGGAGATTGAATTTGTTTCTAAAGCCATTTAGGAATATCCTCTGAAGCTAGAGCCTTTACTTGCAGTGATCGATGAATCCTTTCCGTGTGTATGTGTGGTTACATATACATTGAAATTGGTAAATACAGTGAGATATGATATTATTTTTCGCATTTTCTGAGGGCTTAGATGGATGGATATATTGACTTCACATTCTCAATTACTATTATGATATTAGCTGCATAAAATGTCTTTTTAACCACAACACAGTTCAATCTTTGTCTAGTTATCAAGCTACTATGATCCCCCATATAGCGCAGCTTGATTTACACGTGTCTTTCTTATTGGTGAGTTGAACAGTGGGTCTCGGTGTTCCACTGACCACTTTATATCTCCTGATGAACTTGTCTGGATAGCCATTATATCAACCAGAGTTTATGTCAACTTTCTGTCTTCTTCATCAAGTGTGTCTTCAGTGCATATTCGTTGGATTCTACTGAATAGGCACCTCGCCTACTAAGGCTCTTTTCTAATGAACAGGAGAGAAACTGTGGTAATTCAGACACTGTCCTGTCCAGATCGGTTGTCTATAAATAGATCGTTTTATTGAGTTTTATTGTCAAGAGAGTGTTAGAATTGCTGTGAGCTGTTTAAATGACATGTTGGCATGGTATGACTACTGTGAACTTTGAACAAATTCGGTTGTTTACAGAAGGCGGTTATGTCTCACATGAGTCAGTTGATTGGTTTCAACATAGAACTTTGCACACATGTGGAGTAATTCGAATTGCCGCACTCCTTATGGCACAAAAGTCAACAGAAGAGAGTAAATAGACAATTAGAAGAGCTGGAAGGATAGTAAACAGAAATATGAGGCAAAAAGAATAATTCTATGGAAGAACAATAAAGTTTTATTGGATATGATAAGTCACAAGGAGTAAATCCATCTGCGCCACCATTGAGAACGAGGATTATGAGCCATGTCACCCACCAGTTGTTTCCAGCCACTACTGGTGTTTACCATCCCAAGGACCCCAACTAGCCAAGAATTCTACACCTCCCTATACACGACTAGTTGGCTGGCTTAAACTAATTATTGCGGATTTCATTGACTGATGAAGACATGTTGCTTGTGACTTTGTCACCACCGGCCTTCTCTTTTCCAACCTGATCCATCTTATGTCAGTCAGCTAACATTGCCCGTTGATCGAGGAAGACGGTCGATATCTAGGCGTATGTATGTGTAACACATGTCCTAAATTCACAGCCTCATCGATTGATTTCCCTTCTTAACCCTCTAACACTTGACCGAAGCATAAACTCAAAATTTCTCACCCAATTATACCATTTTGCATGGGAGATAGAACGCAGACACCTAGGATCAAAGACAACTAGCTATCTATTTCGTAGCTTCCACTTTCAATATCATGTCTCACTCACAACGATTAAAGGGACATATCGAACTACTGCTAAGCAGTATACAGTCCAAATATCACGTCTATTAAGCCAGAGATGGTGTAAGTTGACAGGTCATAGACAAATGAGCCTTCTTTATCCATGCTGTGATTTCTTCAGTGATCAGTTCGCTAACGTTGGCTAATACAACTCTACAAATAAGTGAATTGGTCAATACACTTTACCAAACCACTTCATTCCTGTCCATTTTTAAGCCAGCTGGGAACAAGTTGGCGTAATCCAATCCTGCAGCCTTATCCTCTTACATTTGACGGGATCGAATCATTCGACACTGTCTGTGGTTCATGAAATCTTGCTGCTTGTAAGAAGAAAAAACGAAGAAGAAGCGGAAGAATTAGAGGGTGGTGGGGTGTGGTGATATTTCCTACTCACCTTGTGGTGAGTGAGAGCTGTCTGCTAGCTAAAAGTTATAGACAACAATTCACGTCAATTTTCACGTCCCAAATCAGGGTCATGAGAAAAAAAACACAATAACAAAGCTTAACCTTGAGGAACTCAACTCAACAACCAATCATAGCAGACTTAACGTGTGCAAATATGATTCGTAGATACATGGCTCAACTTTCTGAGAAACTGTTACAAGCAGTACAGAATAACCTTGAGCAGCAAAACAACCAATCAGAAGACGTTACTTCTCTGCTGACAATAATGTATGTAAAAATTGATTAATATCTGTCGATTTTCTCAATAAACAATCTACTGCCTGGCCGCTGTCTTCTGTCACTACAAAATGATCACATTTTTTTTAAAATTTTGTAACATACCTGTTCTTCTGTAGTATTTTATTAATTCAATTAATCACTGTTTGTTTTCTCCACTTTCTAACAATCCAGGTCCTAGTATGTCCTATCTGCACAAAATCTTATAATTCAGAAACCTATCTAGCTAAACATGTTGATCGGCATAAAGAGGCGGCGGCTACAGCTGGTGCTGATGGCAATGGCTCCAATACGCGGGGCAATAACAGTCACAATAGTAATAACAACAGCAACAACAACAACAATAACAATAATACTACTAATAACAATAACAGTAGTAGTAATAATAATAATACTAGTGTGATAAATCTGAGAAATCAAACCTGTATGGATAATATATTCGCTGCTGGATTTCATAATCATTCAGTTGCTATGGCTGCTGCAGCCGCCTCAGCACTTACTCGTGGTGGGCAGGTTATCGATTCGAATGCTGCAGCAGCTGTTACACATATGGGTGGTCTTGGAGGTGTTACTACTGGTGGACGTCATCCACATGGAGCAGCAGCAGCCGCGGCGGCTATGGTTGCAGCACATGCACATCAAGACTTGCATTTAAGGGCTGTTGCAGCAGCAGCTGTTGCCAATAGTAACACTAATGCCAATAATAATAATAATGGTATGAATCTTAATAATCATCGTGTTGTTGGTGTTGGCGGTGATATTGACAATTCATGCGGTTTTTTTAATTCAACATTAAATGATGCAAGAATTAATGGGAATAATAATAGCAATAATACGAATAATAGTAATAGTAATAGTCCGAATACAGGATGTGACCTATTACATAATAATAACAATAATAATAATAATGGAAATGGGAATGCATTGAATTATAGTTCAATGTCTACAACAAGCGTAGGAGGATTATTTCATCATTTACCAGTAGGCGGAATGATTCATGGATCGAGTAGTGAACATTTAACTGCAGCTGTACAACAACAACAACAACAGTGTATTACGTCATCACATCGTCATCAACATTTTCAAGAGGAAAGCCATCAACACATGAATTCATATGGACATTCAAATTTATCCTCACCGAATCATCATAATCAAAGCCAACCAACAACAACAACAGCTGTACGGTCATCAACATCACCCTCACCATCACCAACCTCAACAACAACTTCCTCAAGGACAACAACATATTCAAGTTAATCAACGTACAAATAACACTACTACTCTTCCGCATTCATCATCTAAACGTCAATCGACATCAATTAAGTCAACAGCATCGCCATCTTCTTCATCTTCATCAGCGTCGTCATCATTATCTCCAGGAGTAAATGATTCATCACAATGTCAACAACATTTATTAAATTTAACACAGCATCGTTTGTCTAATTCTACTACTACTACTTCAAAGCGAATTTGTTCCCCGTCAACTGAATGTACCGCCATCAGTAGTTCATCATCGGTATCATCAGTAACAATAGCGCCAACAGGGGGAATGGTGAATTCAACAATGGATCGATATATTTCAACGCCTATCACTACTTCTACTACCTCAATCACTCCATCACCTACAACGGGAACAACACAGTCAGTGACTGCAGTTAACGGTTCGTTAAATAATGAGGGTATACATCGACATGCATTACTTCCACCTCCAGCTCATCAACAACATTCTGTACAGTTGGGGGAATCAAATTCGTTATATATTAACAATAATAATAATAACAATGATAATCAGACTAACTGTACAACCGCTAACCACCATCCAACTGTACAGTCAGAAACTCAACGGCAGCACACCCATCAACACCATCATCAGAACCATCATCAAGAAGAGCATATACCTTTGCCTGTACAAAATCATTCCAGTCAATCATTACTATCTAGTCATGTTGTCGGTCAGTTGACATCTTCACCGTGTACATCACCAAGTCAATTGTTAAACACAACAGATGATATAACTATAGAAGCCAATGAATGTCAGAGAATGAATATTAAGGAAGACAGTCATGAGAATTGTGAAAAATGGTACAACGATAGGCATAACGATAATACTGATGATGTTTTAAACGCCTATAACAATGATAATAATAAAGAAGGGAATAAAGAGAATCCCATCGAAATTGACACCGAAATCAACACCGACGCTATCAAACACCATCATCCTAACAGAGGAAAAAATCAAGAAGAACAGGAAGAAGAAGAAGAAGTTGACGACGATGGCGGTGAGGATGAAAATGAGAATGAGGATGATATTATCATGAATAAGACAGATATCAGTACACCGAATCATATGTATGATTTTTTATTCCATGCCAATTCAAACAGTAATAATAATGATGATGATGATGTCGGTTTAAAGTCAACCCAACACGAGGATGTTGATGAAGATCCTAAAGACCTGTTGATTTCATCGCATAAATCTTCTAGATTTAATCAAAACGCAATCCTACCAAATAGTTTATCCCCAACATCGACTGATCTACTCCAGTGTAATAATAATAATAATGGTGGAAATATTCTTCATAATCGATCAATATCGTCGGCATCAGCATCGCTATCTTCCTCGTCGTCGTCTTCCCCGTGTATTGATCCTGTGATGACAGATGAAATTAATTCAATTGGATTGGAAAATATCAATTACACTGACAATAATCATGATAATAATAATACTAATAATAATCCTACGGAATGTGAAACAAATACCCTGTCAACGAGTATTGGAATTGAATCAATTCTTGGTGGAGGAGATCATCCATTAAAAATTCAAACAAATAATCAATATACAATGGATAAACTGAAATCAATTGATGCGGGAAATCTGTTTCCTAGCAACAACAACAACAACAACAATCACAACATAAATCCTAATAACACTAATAATCGATCATTAAAGCGTAGTTGGTCAAATAGAGAATTATTAAATGCATATAATAATCATGATCCCGATCATCAAGATGATGGCAATGATGATCACAGTATTGATCATAATGATAATAATGATATACATAATGATATAGACACTGATAGTATTGACTGTGTGGGGATAAGGAGCCTCAGCGACGACAATAGCACGATCAACGTTGGTAATTCCCCCACAAATACCATGAATAGTAATCACCATAATAATAATGATAATGATGACAGAAAATCGATATCAGAAGAAGGAGAAGAAGAAGATTCACAACAACAACATCAATTGAATTCGACGTCGACATCACCAATATCAGCATCGGTAGTAGCACAACATTTAAATTCTGCTAAACGTCGACGTCGACATCAGTATGTACCACAACATTTACCAGTAAATCATGGTGATGATGTTGATGGAGCTGATAATGACTGTGTTAAAGAGGCAATCGATAAACGCAAATCGATTATACAATCCCCCTGGATCATTCACACCGTCAAAATCGTCATCATCATCATCATCATCATCAACAGTTAATAAATCATCGTGGAAAGTTATCAGCAAATGATAAATATACAAAATCGGATCAGTTGAATGGAGATGTTAATGAAGCATCCCCCTCCTCCTCCGTCTCCTTGTCATCATCGTTGAATAGTCCTCTTGACAATGGAACTGATGAACTCGACGGTGAAAATATCCGTGACGGTGTTGTTCACAAGGCCAAAAACAACAATAATCATGTTGATCCTAACGCCGATGATGTAATCCTCACATCAAATGGTATCCAGAAGGCAGATATCACATCAACAAATGATAGACAATGTTATTTCTCAGCTTTTTAAGTTAAATTTCAAAAATCATTGCAGTAATAATAACAAATCAAAATATCATTCGTAAAAATCTTAACTGACTGAGTGAGTGTACAGTTCAAAAGGATTTATGCATTCGTTTTGTTTTTTTTAAAAACACTACCACCCATCCCAACCACTCATCCCCTAGGTTCTCATTTATGTATATGCTCACAAACAGACACAGACATTCATATTCATCACTCTAAATTCCTTCTTCTTTTTATGAATGTTTCTCATGTCTTATTTTCGCCTTATTTGAAAGAGAAAAGAAACGTCTAAGTTATTTTGATGTGCGCATCTATTCATTCATCGCGTAAACAAATATCCCGGTCACAGAAAAACAAAACATACATACATGTACCACCATCGTTACATATACACATACATATATTTATTGATTAATCATAAATGACCTATGAATCAATGACATTGAGAAAACATTGGAATTATTGTATTCATTTGACATCTGATTATGTAATTATTATCCGAACAAAAAGATCAACTGCCCTAAATGGAGTGATATGTTTTCTTCGAAAATAGATTGTACTACTTAATAATGTATTTAAGTAGGTAAACAATAAATAACACAAAAATAAGCTTGCAGCTGGAAGTGGTGACAGACAGTGGTAGTTACCATGGTAACCAACACGCGTACACTTGCGTACAAATTATGTGACTATTTGCGTTTGTTTGTTTGTTTATTCGTCATCCTCATCATCCCAATCATCGTCATTATCTTCATTGTGGTCATCAATTCACCAAGAAATAATAATAATAATCAATATAAATACATACACATATTTTTGTTTCAAAGATTCATTATATTTTGAACTAGATCATTTGCTGAAATCATAAATCAATAATTAAATTATGATACCTCAGTCATTCATTGACTCACTGACTCATTACCTGTCATTTTTTATTGCTATTTTTTTCATAATACTACTCAAACGCATACACACATGCATACATACCTGCATAGATGGATAGATTGACGACTTATTTACGTACATATATTCACCCTCATACAGACACACATGCACACCCATGCGTCCACATATATACATACCGGTATTTCGCATTGCATTACTGAAACTTGACATCATTATTTTTTTTTCAAATAAATATTTATATACGCATCAAGGTGTCTTTTGAGTATCTTTAATGGCTGCATATTTGTGAGGAGAAGGTTGCTGGGATACTGGGATGGATGGATGGGTGGGTGGTTGGTTGATTGGGTGTTCATGGAGTCTGAAGAAACAAAGAAAGCTACTTCAAAGTCGTCTTCTTGTTGGATGAAATACAACAAAGGAATAACAGACAAAGCAGAAAGAGACAAGAAGATATTTTCATATTATTTTATTTTTATTTTTTACAATTCCCCTCACATATGCTTTTTCTTCTCCTTACTATCTGATGTGACTTCCTTCCCCCATGTGACATTTACGCTCCAGAACTATCTCCCTCTTAGACTTGCCATTCATTTTTAAGAAAACAATACTATTATTATACATACACTTATGTACGTGTATACAACACACATTGATATTTTTATGTCTACCGGTAATTTTGAGAGAAGATTTTCAAAAAAAATTCAAAAAAAGTTGTTTTTGTGTCAAGTTTCTGTTTATTTTTCTCTTTTGTGTGTGTGTGTGTTATTTATGTAACATTTATGTGTGTATCATTAAACATCATCCTCGTGAGCGCCATTATTATCTTCGTTATCATCACAAACTGTCAGCATATCTATGAGTTGTTTTGTTTTGTGTGGGTGTGTGGGCGTGCGTGCGTGTTGCTCAACCATACACACACACATACACACTCACATATATGTCTGTGTGTGTGTGTTTATCTACTCGTAATGATGGAATGCATTCATCATAACAAGTATGTATTGATTTTCATTCGAACTCAGAGACGAAATGAAGAATATATTTTTCCAACTTATTTTCTGATGTCTTTTTGTTTGTTTTGGGCCTTTTTTTCTAAAACGCCGTTTGAAACCAAACATTGATCGTTTACTTTTGTGTCTGTGTCCGTGTGTGTGCGTGTGCGTGCGTGTGTGTGGGCACCTGTGCTTTTGCGTGTACATGTCACTTACTCAAACAGATGATGAAGTGATCATTGAATCGAATCACCTAGGCAACACTGTATCTAAGCTGACAACGAAAGATTGTTGTGTTCCACACACACACAAATTACAATGATATTATTATTACTATTATATTTCTTTTGCATGTAAGTGTATGTGTATTATGTCCAGTTTAGAATTGATAAAATATTTTACTAGATTTCATGCTTATTTAAGTAATATATGTGTGTATGTTCTTAAAAAACTCATGTGTTAGAACTACCTACATTGTTATGTTATTATTATTCCTGTCATTGTTATCATTGTCATACATATATTGCTTGTAATTGTCATTCATACTATTATTATTATTATTATTATTACTACTACTACTATTAATATTATTTTTTTACTCCACCCCGTCATTATTATCTTCTTCGATAACTAAGATATCCAAAAAATAATCCTCATTTATTTGATTGTTTCTCAATTTGTATGTCTATCTCTGTCTATCTATCTATATATCCATTATTTTTATTGAATTGTAATCAGTGTATTATTGAGATAATTAATTGATTAAATGAACATCAATAATAATAAAAATATTAAAAATATCAATAGTAATCGAGATTTTTGTATTTGTTTCATTTAGTCCCCTATGTATGTCTATGTGTGCGTAAGTGTGTAGGTGTGCGTGCGTGTATTCAGCTAAAGGTAGACACACACATACACAGTAGGCACTCACACCCACGCGCATTTGTTTGTGAGAAAATATATGTACAGCTAGTGGTACAGACATACACACACATACACACACACGTCCACACACACATCCACCAACACGCTGAACCACCCACGCGAATATATATAAATATATACGCAGACATATGCAGCCAAAAATGTATGGGCGTATATTCTATGAATGAAGTGTGGTGTTATCGCGGTTATTTCAAATTATTTATCCGGTCACCCATTTATTGATTGATTGACTGACTCACTCACTCACTCGAACAACATCTGGAAACACACACACACACACCGGCTGATTCATTTCTCATTTGCCTTTCCTGTTTTGTTTCTGAGTTATTTTGTCTCCTTGTCGACTTCTTTGTAAACCTTCTTTCGCATAAATAAATACGTACCCATCGGAGATGATATCCATGGTGTCATTTATGTCTGTCTATCTATCGATCTATCCATCTTTCTATCTGTCTGTCTATCTATCTTCGTATGTGTGCATGTATGTGAAATACCCACCCACGCATCCACCCAGTGACACACACGTACACACGCACACAATTGACTAACAAACAGAAAGAAGGCAGAAAGGCTCACCTCCTCACAAGAATTCATTATTTTGTCATTATTATTATTATTATTACTATAATTATCATTATTGTCATAGTCTTCAAGTGTTGGTTTTGTAGGGATTTGGTTTGATTGTATGGAGGATTTAATCATATTGTCATAATCATTAATTTATTCGTTGCTGCTGCACAGATTAGAACAATAAATTACTTCCATACACCCACACTCGCCTCCTCCGCCGCCTTTCGACACACACACACACACACACACACAAACACACACCCACCTACCCACGTATACATCAATCCTCTGATGGTAAGCAAATAAACAAAGAGAGATGCTAGACTAGACTTAATCGATTCAAACAGAATCAAAAACAAACAGACAAAAAGAACACAGCTGAGCGAGTATACGAATTCAGAAATCAACAAATAAACAAAAAAACTTTTAAATGTTATTAGTAATTGTGACGCTATTTTTTTTGTACTCCCGTTATTCTACGAACACTAACACTACTATCATACATACATATATCTATTGTCACTAAATATCTTGTTTCCTTGTTTGTAATTTTTTGTAATTTTTCAGGATTTCATCATGAGCTGACATTAGTTAGAGAACCATTGGAAAACCACCTGGAAGTACTGGACAGCTGTTTCAGGCTAGTTTGGGACTCTTCAACAGTACGCATCCACCGGAATTCGTGTTTTTTTTTTGCGTTTTTCTTGTTCAGCGAGGAAATTTCTATCAACGACTTCATTTTCAAGCCAACTGTACAGTCGTATTTTATATTACAGAAAAAGGTTATTAAGTGACACTAAAAATAATTGCTCAGTCAATATACATACACATGTGATAAGAATAACGATAATTAAAATAGACTTAGGTCAAGTTAAAAGGACATATTCAAGGTCTTCACTTTTATTTTTTGACCTTGAATATGTCCTTTTAACTTGACCTAAGTCTATTTTTCTCACCTCTTACCTCTTTATTAATTTTTTAGATAATTATGTTGTTATAAGGGGTAGAGTTGAAGTGAATGAACTACAGAATTATTAAAGATTGGTTTATAAGTTAAATCATACCAAAAATATTTTAAAAATGTCAAGCGTTGCCTAAAACTTTTAAAAATTAGGAGTACAATCACGATAAAAAAAAAGATGTGAAGTGAAGTGGAATGAATTCAAGTGGTAAAATAAAATAAAATAAAAACTAGAAAGAACATTATTATGACCAAGGTAAAGAAAGGGGTTTGACAAAACGTTTTTGAACACATAATTTAGGTTTCTGTTCATGTATAGCTAAAGCTTCGGCTAGCTATGCATAAGTGAAGAAAACGTAAACTTTTGGAGCAATTTGATTTTGCTATGTAGATAACTTTGAAAGATGAATCACATGACGCTGATTGACCAGACTCGAACAGGTGATCACATATAGACGACTTTGCAGTTCTACGTTCGCCTTTCATTAACCAAACCGGATAGTGTTCAGCTACACGTTTTCGGAGATCATGCTGACAACGTGCAATATAATCAGCTCCACAAGAGCAGGTAGAAGAGTAAATGCACACAGATGTGGACATAAGCGGTAATCTATCCTTGACGCGCATTGT